GAAATTCATATTTCAAACCTTTTGAATACTGGATCTCACATTGTACAACTGCTAATAAAAATATCAGTGGGATCCATCTGGCCAGATGCAGTAGCGTTCGCGTCATCTGAGCAGAATTCAGACAAGCAGTTTTCGAGCTTTATTCTGCAAATTTTCTATTCCATAAACACCACATATAAAAATTAGAAGCAAACACAGAGTGGGTCACATGCTCGGGAATGTACAGTAAAGTGGACCGAAGCTGTAAGCCGTCAATTTGAGAAACCAGAAAAAAAAAATTTTATTTTTTGAATGCAGCGGTGATGGGCTGGAAAAATTCGCCTTTGTCGCATAACCTAAAACCCGGAAAAATCCATGTATCGGCAGGCAGCACAAAAGTGCCTTTCGAAGCACAAGAACGAATGCGCCGCACCCGTTGAACTTCCCACCCGTAAAAGAATTTAGCACAAAAAGCAATCGGAAAAGGTGAAAGTTTTTAATACCTTTTATTCAGAATGTTGTTCGTATTATGAAATGTTAAATCATTTTCCAGGAACAAAACTTTTAACATTAAGAAACTGCTCCTGTCTTTTGCGAAAGAACATTTTGTTTTAGAGGACCGTACGCGGGCAAAAAATTCATATTTCGCATATCTTTTTAACTTCGTCTGAAAAAAACAAAATCGTCCTTTTCTTAAAACCGTTTTGCTGGACTGAAGGAACGATAAGAAAAACTATCACTTGGTTCCTTTGCTCTCCCACATTTGCAATCTGTCCACAAGGACAATTAACAGCCAATCAACAATGTTAACAGTAACCGAGGGAGCAATTTTAAATCTAAACAACGAACCACATTCTCGTTCTGAAACAGCTCCAGAGCACGTTAGGGAGTAATAGCTTGCTCCTCTAACTTGTTGCTGAACATGAAAAAGTCGAGCTGACTGCTGAACTTTTGAGGCCATGCGGAAATTTTCAAGAACTTGAATAAATATTCTCCGACAGGCAGCACTGTTTTTTCAATAAATATTCCCCGATAGGCAGCACTGTATGCCGACAAAGAAGGTGGAAGGCTTTTCGTCGCCTCTCTCAAGATGATGTTTCTCAGGCCAGACTGTAAAGGTAGTTTGAACAACATTGGCGGACAAAGTCAAATCGTTAACACATAACATGGTTTCCACTGCGACTAGCAGGGATCCTGCGGAAATTCGACATGTGTAGAGGGGACGAAATTGGGCGTCAACTTGTCGAAAACGAAAGTGATGCAAAGTGAAAGCAAGCCTACAGCCAGATACCGTTGACTTAGAAATGTTAAGAATTACGTCTTCCTTAACCAGAAATTAAATATCGAAATGCTTATATATGCACGTGCTGCAGTCTCTGGAACACGCGAAAAATACTCGCGATCTCCACCATCTGAGCAGTGTGCAGTATTCACCGGATCACAGATGCAGAATCGGTTAGGCGCGAAATACAGCTCTGCTTGCCGACAACCGGTGGACGTTCGCTTATCAATGGATGGTATTCGCGAATAAACTATCCGGACAGTCCGGAAACAGCGCGCATACGCGGTGCAGTTCTGTGGGATGAAGAATGCGCCCCGAAGCCGAAAAGGCATAGCTGTGTCCGATGTGTGAATGCACTCCCGTAACAGCAGCACCAACGGATTCATTGGTAGGTGGAATGTTCAGGTGATTTCTGTCTGTGACTATGTTTGCCCCATGGTTTATTCATTCAAACTCTGGAAACAATAATGGCCAAGTGCCCGAGAGCACAGGGATCAATAAAAATTACTGCCAATGAAGGTCTGCAAATGAACATTATCAAATGCTCATTTAAACACGCATAAAGCAATACAGTAGTTAAGGAATGTATGAAATTACGATTGGTGGGAGGTGCACAGTACAAATGAGGCACCGGTTACATGCGAATGGAATTTCTGGATGACCAGGACTACGACGTACAGTGAATGTGAATTAATTAAGGCAGCAAATACTTGTAATTAGCGTATATATATAGCAACTCAAATGACCACGTGCATTGTATCTGCATCACCAGAACGACTTGCATATGGAATATAACAACAATAGCATTTATGAATGACCCAACAAGCAGCAAGACATGAAAACTGCGATGCAGCAACAACAGCAGCAGCAGCAACAGCAGCAGTATGAACCAGCAATATGCAATGTCATAGTTT